TGTGGTTAATTATACGATGCGACACTTTTAAACGTGATCTTTGCTCATACATAGAAATGATACGCTTTCTTTAGAGTTTTCCATGGCAACAAATGAAAGTCAACGTGAAATTCTTGATATTCAACCAAGAAAACAATGGGAAAATGGACATGGATATTGTGGAGAAACATCAATTCAATCGATTGGTAGAAAGAAATGTTTTCTTATTGAAAAAGAAATGAATAATTTCTATAAAAGGTCTTTATTATGGTTGTTGGATTTCTCAACAATTAGTTCGTTCAATAAATCAAGGTGAATTTCTATTAACTGATGATGGAAATGATGAAGAGACTTTGAAAAGACTTCATTTCAATTATGAACGTTGGTTATTTGAAAACAAATCCAAACCTCAATATAAAGATTATTGTGTTTGGTTAAAAAATCATTTATTGCAAAAACATCCGTGTATTATCACTGTTTATCTTGATGATGATGAAAAAGATGAGGATTATGATCATATAATGCCAGCTATTGGAATTCAATCTCATTCATCAAAGGATTCTTATGATCCAAATGATATTCTTTTCTTTTATAATTTATTTCATTTAAAATTACTTGAAAGAAAATTAAATGTCAATGATATGATTCAAACACGAAATAGTTGTCGATGTCAAATGAAGAATGGTGGTTGTATTCCACGTGATATTAATTATGGTTATGCGATTTTAGGTATTAAAGATGATCAACATGTTACATTACCAATTCAATTAAAAGTCAATGTATCTGATGAACCAAATGTATCAACTGGTTCACTTCCTATTCTTATGGATGGAACAATTCTTATATCAAATCTTCAATTCAATCGAGATTATGTTCTTTTACGTTATAAAACTCATCGATTTGTTCCAACATCAGGTGATATTCAACATTTTCTTCGTTCGAATTATCAATTTCGACATGATTTTCGTGCATCTCAATCAACATATACTTATCATGATCCTGAGAAAATTCCATCAAATGGTTCAACTTATTATCGATGTGTTCCTGCGAAAGATATTCATTCGCATAAAACTGATGAAGAACTCTAAATTTCTAAAAGAAAAAAAAAAACTTTATCAATTAGATATCTGAACAGAGAAATGCATTGTTTGTGATTTTATCTATTCACACTCATATTTTCACATAGACACACTTTGATTTCTATTGACATTCTTCAACAAACATCATCTGTCATTGGGTTTTTTCAAGATTAATCTCGAATATTTTATTTTCAATTAAATATTTATTAAAATTAAACTAAATAGAAACTCAAATAGATTCAGAGAAATCTTATCCGAAAAACATGATCTTATTGTCTCAATATGAATAATTATCCTTCATTCTGATTCATCACACATTTTTCTCCTTATCGATCTCAGAAGAAAATTTGTTTTCGTTCTTTTTATCGTACAAAACAAAAACATATTTTGATCATAATTCGTCTAAACAAATCCGAAATAAAATAAAGATCTTTTATGAATATCCGGATGAAACATCAATAAATGATGAATTAACAATGTTTAATTTGTCAAACACCATTCATTGATCCAATTGAAATTCCATATGAAGAAATATTTCGTCGTCAATGTATAACAAAATGGATTGAAATAAGATAAACATCTTTTTCTCTTTGTCGATTATCTTTATTTATCGATAAGTTGAGACAATCATCTTCAATGAACATTGTTCACAAAGAATTCTTTATGGAAAGAATCACCAAAACATTTCAATGAATATTTCATAATTTCACATTGAATTAACTATTAATTAATCAACAATTAAATCATCATCTCGTGAAAATATTTCATTTCTTTGGGATTTTTAGAATAATTCAATAGAAATACAAACACAAAACCATTCTTTCATTGAATTTGATAAAGATTTTCATTGGAATTCGAATTCTTTTAGAAATCTATTTATTCAATTATCAAATGTAAATATTGATAAAGAAGTATTTCTTGAATCAATATCTCGTGTCAAATTAGAAGAATATTCTCTACTTCATCTGAATAATCAAATTGGTTAAATATGGAAAATCAATATTGTTCAAATGATTTTTCTACAAAAAGTAATTCTTCAATTGAAAAATGGAAACTTATTTACAGGTTTGGCTTTTTTAAAAAGATTTTGTTGATAAAAATAGAGATTCAATTGATGGATTAAATCCAATTTCATTTCACAGTGATAATCGAGGTGAAATGTATCTCATTATTTCATGGTTTTGTTGATGAAAATTAGAAAATATTATCAAATCTTAAACCAATTTCTTATAGTTTAAGTCAAAATTAATTTATTTTCTCATTAAAAAATCCAAATAATATTTCATAAAGATCAATTTTGACTGGAAGAGATTGACCAGATATGTTTATTTCTTATTTAAATGATAAATTTCATTGTCAAATTCATTTGGATCTTCATCAGATTGTCTTATTGATGAAATAGAAGTGTTTATTCTTGTTTTAAAAAGACAACAGACATTTTTCTCTTTTATATTTCGAAAAAGTCTTTCAAAATGAAAGATTTCTATTCAATTGATTATTTTTAGTTTTATATCAAATGAATACGAAATTAATCGTTCAATTTTGACACGTTTTATCTATTTTATTGCTCTTGTTTTTCTCCAATTCATTTATTTCTATTGAACATTTGGATCTACTGGAATTTTTCTTTTCTTATTGTTTACTCTGAAATGATCAAATATCGACGATAATGTTTGGTGATCGAATGACAATCGAAATAAACAGGAATTTGTAAAATATTCGAGTGAAGGTGTTTTTATATTTGAAAATTTTGTTAAATAAATCACAATTCAATACTTTCGATATTTGAAAAATATTTCAACACATTTTCATTGAGATTAAAAGTTTTATT